CCCCCCTACACGTGAAGTTTTCACGTGATTCATGATTCTCGAGGCTGCGAGCCCTTGACTTGCTAAAGCAAGAGCAACTCCAGCTAGCTGATGCTAGCTTTCGTGATATGCGTGTGTGGATAATACGCATGTACATACACACAAATCTTGTTCTACTCTGACACAGAAATTCTTGGAGCATTTGGTGGCCGAACCCCATGGCAATCGTTTCAATATTCAAGGTTCAAGATGTCAAAAAGGAATTCTTGAATCCTATGCCCGGGCCCTGGGACCCGGAGTTGCATAGACGGATTCTTTCCTGAATTTTGACTCTTGAATCCTGGCAAGGGGCTGCACTTAGAGCGCTTCGCTGAAAAGAGCCCACTGCAACAAGTTGCAATGCAGCTCCAAGCGACTCAGTGAAAGGAAGGGTGCCGACATCCACAAAGGCCTACTAGCTACCAGGGACAAGGCATTGCACGCGAGGTTCAAGGCTGGTGTCATGGAAACTGGATGACCACGCGCGCAGGAACATGGCATTACTCGACTGACAAAGGTTTTGGCAAGATGGCTAGCTTCGAGAAGGTGCAGAAATATGTCAGGCACACCAACGGCGCGTTGCAATAGAGCCTCCTTCGATCCACGACCTTTCAACGAACTCATCTTCCCAAGCTCTCGGTTGCGGGTTTGTGGGCTACCCAGGCATCGTTATTATCGCAGCCGCAAAAAATGGCAGCGCTTCGTCACTCCTCGCCCAGTACTCACTGGAACCAAGCTCTGCAATCTGACTTTGCATACAGCACATCCTCACCAAGCTCAGCCACATCAAGGAAAGGCAGCTCCAATTTTGCAACCGGGGGCATTGGCATGACATTGAAGCTGATGGGGCCACATTTGACAAAACGCCGGGCTCTCTTGCGCAGCCGCCAGGTGTCACTTAGGGAGGGTCATCACACCGGCAGAAGCAGCTTGGACACATTGGAGCCAATCAACTCATCTGGCGGCAATCACGGAGCGTCTGCCCGGCTCCGTACAAGTACTGGAATCGCGGCCAGGATAGCTTTGGGGCCAAAAAGGCTCTGTCTCTGTCTCTGAACGCATTGATAAAAGCAGTCCGCATCTGCAACGTTCACTATCCCGGCAAAACACCCCAAACAGTGTGTGTGAGGTCTGTAAGCAGAAAGTCCAGAGATCTAGACGCATTGGGGTCCAGAGAGGTGATAGTGGTGATGAAGTGAAGGTGAGTGTGAGTGAGTGTGGGTGAGGGAGTGTGAGTGTGAATGAGTGCGAGTGTGAGTGAGAGTGAGCGTGGGTGAGAGTGAGAGTGAGAGTGAGTGTGAGTGTGAGTGTAAGCGAGCGTGAGTGAGAGTGAAGGTGGGTGTTTGTGAGTGTGGGTGAAAGTGAGAGTGAGAGTGTGTGAGTGAGAGTGGGAGAGTGAGTGTGTGAGTGCGGGTGTGAGTGAGAGTGAGTGTGGGTGAGAGTGGGTGTGAGTGTGAGTGAGAGTGAGTGTGAGTATGAGTGAGACTCAAGGTGAGTGTGAGTGCAAGTGTGGGTGAGTGTGAGAGTGGGTGTGGGAGAGTGAGCGAATGTGAGACTGAGAACGAGAGTGAGAGTGAGAATGAGAGTGAGAGTGAGTGAATGAGAGTGAGTGTGGGAGTGTGAGGGAGTGTGAGTGTGAGTGAAAGTGGGAGAGTGAGTGGGAGAGTGAGAGTGTGAGCATCTGAGAGCACAAAGTACTGGGCCTGCCACCAATCTGCACTTCGAGGTTCACAAAGTGCTGTACCTGTCACGAAATCTGCACTTCGAGGTTCACCAAGTGCTGCACCTGCCACGAACTCTGCACTTCGAGGTTCACCAAGTGCTGCACCTGCCACGAAATCTGCACCTCGAGGTTCACCAAGTGCTGTGCCTGCCACGAAATTTGCACGTCGAGGTTCACCAAGCGCTGTGCCTGCCACGAAATCTGTACTTCGAGGTTCACCAAGTGCTGTGCCTGCCACGAAATCTGCAAACGAGCCACATGCCACGATTCACTGCACCTGTCACGAAATCAGAGCTCCTCGACGATGTCCAAAGTGCTGCACCTGCCACGAAAACTACATTTCGAAGTAAAACAGCTCCGATCCCTTGCACCTGTCACGAAAAGTCTTTGGAGAACTTTTGGCCCGGTTCCCTTGCGCCTGCCACGAAAAGTCACCACCATGTGCGAAAATGTGCACGGCACTACAACGAGAGCGCAGTCGTTAGAAGCACCCGCCGCAGACACCCAGATTCAGCAAGCCTGCGCAGTCGAAGTGCACATGGACGATGTCGAGAGGCATGAATGTACTGTAAATAGCAGCGAATCAGCCCGCACACGCCCGTGCGGAACAGCGATCTAAGCACACCTTCCTTTCTACTACCGTAAGAACCCCTCAGTGTGCCCACACTGCTTGGGGAAAAAAACACTTTAAACTGAAGCCCTTGGCCCTTGATCCATCCTTCTGAAAATTGATCGCATATCGTATCAGCAATCACCCATAGCAAAACATCTCTTGAGCTAGCATGCAGCATATATATATATATATAAGAGTTAGACATGCAAGCAGGTTGCAAAAATAGTATATCTTTGGGGAGGTAGCTAGCTAGTAGGTAGCATACATACATTACATATTATATATATATTATATCTGACTTACGCAAAGGGCAGAATGGACATGATAACATATGAAGAGATCAGAGATGTCATGACATCTTTATCCACTCACAATTCCACACACTCACCTGTCTAGAGCGTGCACTTGTTACGGCGAATGCAACCCACACCACTTGAAAGCCACGGCGCGTTGGGTTCCTTGGTAGCGCACGGGGCCGATGGCCTATGCTCTATGCAAAGCCAAATCTTGCCCTCGGTGCATCAAATACCAACTACTATACTACCAAAATCTACCAAACGGTACCATCATCCTCTATCCAAAGTTTTCAAATTGGTGTTGTGCTTATTCAATCTCTATAAGGGCACACCGCACGCTGGTCTGCTGGCAGGCTGCTGCTTGTACATCTTGCATATTCAGGTGTGTCTCCAGACCCAGCGTGAACGAGGATGCCAGCAAGGTTATCATCACCATTACTTCGAAGCATTGGTGTCGCACAAGAAAAAGGGCCATTCCTAGGGCAGAAAAGTCCGGCAAACAGTCGCATCCAAAGACGCCGGGCCACTGAACGGTGGATGGGTCTCAAACCACCTTTGATTTTGAATGGAGGCTGTGCCAAGATACCTCGCAAAGGAGAAAGTGTTGAAGGATCCAGATGGTAGGCACTGGTTGATGCCACGCGAATAGGTTCATTCCCACCTGGGCGAGGCTCGACCAAATGCAATGTCATCCACTTCGTGCATTCGACAAACTTCGTGTCACTTCAATGTAGACGGGGTGTTGGAGACGCGCAAGTCAATGTTTTTCTCCGTCTCTTCTTTTTGTGATCGCCCAAGCCAACCATTCCTTAACCTCTTTCCCATGATCTTCGCACGTCCAAAAAAACCACGAGGCTCACTCTGTCTGCTGCTGGGAGGCTCGAGCCCCGTGGCCGTGGCAGCCTCAATGTACCGGTGCCGTGGCCGTGCCTGTTCCGTCTCACCACTCGAAGGAGCGCTTCGTTGAGTCATCAAGCTGTTGATGACCCGCTAACCAGCAGCTAGTAACCAAAACGTTGGCAATACAGTGGAATGAGACGGTTCAAAACATATGTGGGCGAACGTTGCCACTTAGACTCATGATCAGCTTTGAAATTCGCATCGCCGCATCGGCATCTAAGCCACCCAATGCTGCCAGTTCCAATCTCCTTCAGGATCGCATGAGTCTTGGCGTGCTTGTGCGTGGGTTGGGCCTAGGGTCATCCAAAGAATGAGATGAGGCGGGCCCTGATCTGATGTGGTGAACAAGGTGCAGGAAAAGACCAGGAATTCAGAAGAATAGCACTTGCGTCATTGCGGGGAGATTGCGGGAAGAAGAGCGGCTTGGTGTGAAGCAAAGAAAGCAGCCATGTAGGAGGGGGTTCATGGACCAAAATTGCATGGCGACAAAAGCACAGAAAAATACATAATACATAAGATTCCGGAAGGAGCACAAGCTGGGGCCTGGCCTAACACGGGATCCTATGAGTTGTGGCAGCAAGTGTGAAGGAGATCAATCGACAATGATAGCAAAATATAGCAAATAATGCCCATACAACTGCTTGCAAGCAAGAGCAAAGTTGAACTATGTGACCATGTGACGGCTTAGCATAAATGTTTCATTAATTGCATGTCAGCGAGCCTCAGCATCAGTCTGGATGCCTTGCTCCATCCTGCGGGTTGCGGCCGAGTCCACAGCCCACAGCACTCAAGAAATGTATAGAAATGTCACGATGCAAAGCCCCTTGGAAGTCTGTCACTTGACCAGCATCGCCACCCTTTGAAGTCCTTGGCGGACACACCTCCTCTGGTGGCAGCATCCTGATCAACGGCGTGCGCTTCTGACGTTCGCATCTTCCAATACCTTTGCATCTGGTCTGCCATCTTCACCTCTGTTGTTGTTTTTCACCATTCTCTGGGGCGCTTGGGTCAGCCTCTTGGGTCACCCCTTCGAACTCACCAGGAAAATTTCAAAGTTCGTGGCCCAGACTTCGGACCCTCTTGCCCCAGATCAGGCGACCAGTTGCTCAATTATTAGGTGTGTCTTGTTGGAGGTACTAACAAAATGCACCAACAAGACAAGGCCTTGAAGTCCTGCTCTTTGGGTGAATCTTGGAATCCATGTTTTAATGCCGGAACCCCACAACACTGGCTTTCATGATGTTCGACCGAAAGCTTGCCTTGGGAAAGCTTTTTTGGCAATGCTGCGAAGGCCTTGCAACCGGTGTGCATGACATCGGTGGCTCAGTGTGCTTGGTGACTTGCAATATCAGAGTCCGCCGATGGCTCCTTCACCCCCCCTACGGGCTCGGTCCCCGGAATGTCTTTGATGCAAGCCATTGAGGCCATTGAGGCTGAGACTTGAGACCGCTGCAACCGCTGCAACGCGCACAGCTCCGTGAACCACACAGCTCCATGCTCCGGGAACCCGACGAGATTGACTTCGTGGCTCGATGCAAAGCTCCTGCGTGGCGAAGGGCCTGCATCCACCTCTCAGAGTCCATCCTGTCGCGCTTGTGATATACCCCAGCAGGTCGGTTGCGTTGGGTGTTGCGTTCGGGAAGCCGACCCAACTTTTGAAGCAAGACCGCCACGCGCTGGTCATTTGACGTTTGAGGAGGGTCCACCTGCAGTCAACTAAACAGGACTGCCATCTGGCAATGAATGAAACACCAAACCAAAGCGGAACAGGGACTAGTTAACAAGGTACAACATGGTGCAACCAACTGCCAATCTCTTTCCAGAATGTCACTCAATCAATCCCCCACCCCTTCATGACACCATATGACACCCCTTCAGCTCCTGAGCATCCACGGCTCCAGGCAAGGGGCTTGTCTGAAGATGCCGCCTCACTGCGAGTTCATGGTGTGAGGGAACCGCTGAAGCGTAAAATGTTCAAAAGGATGAGGATGAATCTGGAGGGAAGACCTCCAAAAAGAAAGTAATTGTTGTGTGGTGTTGTCCGCACACGGAAGGGAACCAGTCGTTGGAGGCTAATGATAGTATCTGATAGACCTTCTCCGTTCTCGCCCCGCAAAAGAGATCTCTGCAGAGAGAGCCTTCCACGAGGCAAGTGCGCATGAGGGAAGTGAAGCACGTTTCTATCCACGGTCCTCTAAATGCATATGGAAGAAAGTGAGCCCCCCCGCTTTGCCAGCTGTTCCAGCCAGGCAACCACTGATTGCAAATTAGATATAATTGTATACCTTCCATATCCTTCACTATCCTTCCATATGTTGGTTCACACTGCGTTCCATGGCAGCCCTTCCCACTCTCTACCCAGTTGGCGAGGCTCAAGGGCAAAAGCTGGGTCTGCATCTGAGCTATCAGTTGCTCGACCGGCTCCAACTGGCTGCGAACGGCCTTGGTGGACCATGGGAAAGAGACGTCGGTGACTTCCGTTGAAAAAGTGATCTCTTTTTAGCTGTGTGTCTAATAGCGATGGCCTCCAACCTAATAGCGATGGCCTCGAACCTAATAGCGATGGCCTCCAGCCTACTAGCGATGGCCTCCAGCCTACTAGCGATGGCCTCCAACCTACTAGCGATGGCCTCCAACCTACTAGCGATGGCCTCCAACCTAAGAGCGATGGCCTCCAACCTAAGAGCGATGGCCTCCAACCTACTAGGCCTCCACCCTACTAGCGATGGCCCCCAGCCAAAAAGAGCGATGGCCTCGAGCCTACTAGCGATGGCCTCCAACCTACGAGCGATGGCCTCCAACCTAAGAGCGATGGCCTCCAACCTAAGAGGGATGGCCTCCAACCGATGGAGAGCGATGGCCTCCAACCTACTAGCGATGGCCTCCAACCTAAGAGC